ACCTGAAACAATGTGCAGTATTATAATCGGCGGAGAGTCTGTTGAAAACCACTTGAGTGTTGCCAAATGATCGTTATATTTATTGTCTGGTTTTTATGTAAATTTAGCCGTCTCTCATACAACTTGTCGGGGACTTCACAACGGTTAACTACTCCAATAGGTTCAAGAAAAAAAAACAACCTAACGACTTTGAAGCAGCCTACGTAAACTTCTTTTTAAAGTCTCTAAACTTATGAACCAACCCTCGTTCGTGTCTGTCGAGAGCACAGCAGCAGACGCGCGTTCTCGTCGCATAGTGGAACTACTTCCCATTCCAACTGGATCAGTCAGTCAGTGCAGGATTCTGTGAATCTGGGTGCTTCGGTGTGTGTGTGTTTATACCCCGCAGTCATCCGTCAATTTTCAAGCCATTGCCCAAACATTGATAGAAAAAAGTGCCTCCAACTTCCCACTATATGAGACCAAAATATTCTGAAATTGCAAGGGTGGGTTCATAAGTTTTGAGACTTTTAGAAATACATCCAAAATAGTTTCAAAAATTTGAATTTTTTGGCATGCATAGCCTCATCATTTGGCAACACTTCAGCGCTGCTAAACATACAACTCTGCCAATTTCGATGTATTTTATCCTGTGATGAATCCAACAATTAGAACGCAGTCATAAATTGAGTTCTGTTACTTAATTTGGCATCCTGTAACTTCTGGCTGTTCTGGACAGCAAAGAACAACCTGAGAAATAATTTTTTTTGAGGACAGGGATGACACCCTTATTTCTGCTATCAAAGAGCAGCTTGATCAATTAATGGAGCTCAATTTTTGGCACTTTTCTGATTGTTGGATTTATTGCATGAAAAAATGTATTGAAATTGGTGGAGATTATGTTGAACAGCACTAATGTGTTGCTGAATGGTGGGGCTATGTGAGTAGATATTTTTTTGAATTTTTATAACTGCGTTGGTTCTATTTCAAAATGTCTGAAAACTTATGAATGAACCTAATTTAATATGGTATTTTGACCTGACCCCCCTGTTCATCATCCTTATGCTTTATTCCCTTATCCTGCTCATACAACCCCCAATAACTGCAACACAGTATGGTGCAGTATTGAAAAATTATTCCATTACAAAAGATAAAAGATTTTAACTTCTGAAAAGCAAATGAAAGAAGTGTAAACTGCAATTCATCCAAGACTTTGGATAATAAAGGACAGTGAGACCACCACATATGCAGACACCTTGACATAGGGACATTTATTTTTCAATAAAAAAGGCATAAAAAGGCCCAACATACAGACACTGACTCAACATGCAGATATTGCATGATACAATTGCGAATAAATTTCAAGAAAATTGATTTTTATTTTGTTAAATTGCAAGAAACAGATATTTCCAATCCTAAGATCTACGCCAAAAAATTCTTTGGTATTTCTCCCATAATATCCCCATCCATTCAGCTAATAAAAATACCTGTAGCACAGAGGGACTTCCTTCTCTCTTTGTGACTTAAATGTCATTTTTACAGATGCCAACATTTCAATGCTGCCCTGTACAGAGGTACACTATTCAATGCTCCAAATGTTCTTATTGAGTTGAAAAGATATTCAGTGAATCAAATTCAAGCGGCAAACATTTTGTTTACCATGGAATTGTAAATAATTCTTCCATAAAACACCAATTAAAAATTATATAATGTAAGTCTCTGGGAAAACTAGACTTGACTTGGGAACACTCTTCATGCACCAATTATGTCCTCATCTGGGGGTTTCACTGTACTGTAAAACCACAATAATGAATTCAAACCTCAGGAAAATGGATAATGAGAATCCAGAATTCAGCTACTGTAGTTGGGTACACAACAATTGAAATGATTATTCCTAATTTCCTGTAGCATTTTTTGTAGCCCTATACGCGTCCTAATTACAATTACAAATCCGAAGAAAAGTCCAAATGTGGCACGCAATCCGTACCCATGAATTGTAAAGAACGTGAGCATGAAATTGACGCTGGAAAGAAAGAAAAAGAAAACATTTAGCAGGGAGAAAGCGGGTGATCAGATCAGTTCAAAACCCATTAATTCCTGGTTACCCAGCCATCACGAAGCGCGGTGAAAACGTGGACAGATACGGGTGTTAGCTGGGAAGGCTCGGGATACATGCTTGCGAATCCCACACAGTAACATTAAAAAAGGGGCACTCTTTCCCAAATTGTCTTACCTGTTTGACTTTTGACTTTAACTAATTTAAGAGACTACTTACGTCCCTATGTTTATCTTTACTTCTGTACGTTCGTTGTCACTTCTCAAAGAGTGCGTGAATTCTTCTGTTGCCTTCTTTTTAACATGTGCGGAATAAACGGTTCAATTCTTTTGGATGCCTGTACAGTGCACCCTCAGTGAAAAAACTGCTTGGCTAAAAAAACTGATTATGAGGGAAAATCCCTCGATTAAAAAACCAAAATTCAGTCAAAAAACTTTATTCTGTGGAAATATCCCAATTTTGAAAATTAAAATTTGATTTTATGGCTGAAATTTATGGTCCCATCTGAGTGCAACTTATTCACTTATGCATCCACTGATTTGAAAAGTATTTCTTCTGGTACTTAGATATGTGCATAATATTGCGTTTTAAAATATGTTTCACATTATTCATAATTCATAGGGTACATCATTCATAATTCATATGGTACATCATTCATAATTCATATGGTACATCATTCATAATTCATATGGTACATCATTCATAATTCATATGGTACATCATTCATAATTCATATGGTACATCATTCATAATTCATATGGTACATCATTCATAATTCATATGGTACATTGTTTAGTTGTTGTGAAGATCTATTTTAACTTTCCTTGCAGCATTAAAAAAAATTTCATTTTTGCCTTACATAACAAATATAATTTAAGATTTTAAAATAAAAAATTACAAGACCATCAAATTTAATCAGAAGAAGTTATTGATGCATCTTTTATGTGCCCAGAATGCTTTAAAAGTGTCACATATGGAAGTAGCAGTGATGAAAACGAAGATAAAAAGCTTAACATCCAGAGAAACACATACTGAAGGATCCATATGTCAGGTGAAAATGAAATTTATTTTTTCATTGCTGCAAGTAAAGATGAAATGGACCTCTCTAACAATTGATTAACTAGATAAGCCAAGCATAGAAAATTGAATAATTCTCTCACAGAAGAGCATGTATGAATAAGGTAGCTAAAAAATTTTAAAATACAAGATTACACATATTCAAGTGCCTGAAGGAAAGGAATTTCACATCAGTGCACAGGTGAATTATTCACACTCAAGTTGTACCATAAATGTCAGCCTCAAAATCATATTTTGAATTATCAACTTTTTGGTTTTTCCCCAGAGAAAGGTTTGTTGACCAAAACTTGGGTTTGTTAACCAAGGGGTTTTACCTCAAAACCAAAAGTTTGTGAATCAAAATTTTATTAAGCCAGTGGTTTGTTAACCTAGGGTACACTGTACTCAGAAAATAAATATTTCTGCCACTCCTGGAAGACATAGAATCAGGAGTCAGTCAACCACGAACCCAACACTAGTTGTAGGTGTGAGTACCAAATGTGAGTCACGTCATTCTACTGAACCGTTGTAAGTTCTACACGTTCACTATGAGTTAGCTTCACAACATCTCAAAAAGAGATCTGCCTCATTGGCTTCCAGATAACCCAAAGCTCATCCAAACAGTAATAAAAGCCCCAGCTGGTGTATCTCAAATAAATGAGCAAGTTCATCTTGAACCCCCAGAGGCAAAACACTTGCATAAATCAAGGATGTCTGCGTGATTGAATTCAGTGGGGCAGGGTAAAATAAAAACCATTGGCAAGAAAATATTGGAACATTATATACAGTAAGTTAAAAAAAATAGATGGAGGATTGCCAAGGGTTAACCCTGGATGTTCCCAGCATCATCCATGAAATAGAACAGTGTTTCCAACCGGTGGCCCGTGGACCTGCGGCAGTATGCAGAAGTTTTTTTTTTGCCAGTCCCCAAGAAATTTTTAGCATATTAAATTTAACTTTTCATCCCTACTTCAGACAATAGAAATGAACTTTAAAACCTCCCTGTTACCGTCAACTTCAATAGACGACTTTTATTTTCCACCGAATAGAGGAGAATAATGTCGTGAAGTCTATTAAAATTGGAACTGCCATATGAAATTTTAATTTTTTGCTCTGAGAAGCCTTTTTTCAATCTCATCTTTTCCAGTTTGTTGATGACATTCAGCTTTAGCTGCTTCAGTGCAACTGAACTCAGTTTTTGCAGAGAAAAACATATACCTTTAAATACCTTCCATGAAGTCTTTCAAGCTAAACTTTTGGGTCTGCAACATTTTTAAAAAACTTTTCTGGTCCACAGGAAGTTTTGGGAATTTTCCAGTCTGCAAAATATTTTATTGAAATGTGCTGGTTCTTAGGCCAAAAAAGGTTGGGGAACATTTTTTCAGATGCTTCTTGCATTATTGAATTTTACCCAGCTGTGAGAATATCTTGAGAAAGTTTCTGTTTTTTTGGCTAAATTATTTTAACAGGTTTTCTTGTATTTTTAAAAAATCTGCCAAGAATATTCAGAATTTTTTAAAAATCTCAGAAACAGCATTTTCTTTATGGTGGCATTTATTAGAATAATAATTCATCTTATTTTACCTGCCATTTATCTGAATAAAAATGAATGCTCAAATTCACATTTCACTCAAAAGATTCAAATTATGGCTACATAATGAGGGCTGAATTTTCTTTCCAGACATTTCATCCTACTTAATGCAGTTCAAAATGAGATGGGACTTGCCCTGTGTCCCATTTGGGGATAAAAAAATATATAACTTAGAATACAGTATTTAAAAAGAGCTTGACTTTAAAATTGAAATAAATATATTTACAGCCTGTGTATTGGATGTTTACTGTATATAGTGGAGCAGGCAAAAACAAGTTTGGGGGATGTTTGGCAGGTGATGGGTTAATATGAGAAGTATATACTTTCGGCTCCCCAACAATGACCAAATTTTTAGAGAGTTGAAAGGGTATAATTGACTAATGATGCGGAAACTTTGGGGAATAATAGTGGCATTTATTGGAGTGTCTATAGTAGTGATGGCAGAGCACGAAGGTAAGAGTGGCACTTGCCAGTCTAAAGTCTGAAGAACCTGCGGTTTGATCAAGTGCTGCATGTTTTTCGCAGACAGGCATTTCTGGCAAGCATCCATGAAGGATGAGATATGGAAGACCATCACATCGCGGAGAAATTGCGCGAAAGCGAAAAACGTCGTTGTTTTCATCGGCGACGGAATGGGGATTCCAGTCATCACGGCAGCGCGGATTCTGAAAGGGCAGAAAGCCGGGAAAACAGGAGAGGAGACATTCCTGAACTTTGAAAGATTTCCCTACACGGGGCTCATGCGGGTATGAGAAGATATTTCAATACAGTACTCCCTACAGTTGTGACACTCTTTATTCTCACAGCCCCAAAGCCAGGGTCACAAATGAAAAATAAATAAAGTAAACATACCATATGATCAGTTTTGAGACTTTTTTTTTAGATAGATCCAATGGAGTGGTTACAATTCCAATTATTTTTTTACTTGGATAACCCCCTGATTTGGCAACACTTTAGCACTGTTTAACACGCTCTCTGTCAAAT